GAAATATAATGGAGGAAGGGACGGAAGTGACGGACGGTAACAGTCTTACGACGGAAGTTACAAAAAAGGGCTATTTTCTTCTATTTTTATAGGTTAGGGGCTAAAACCGTTATATTATAAGGTGAGGGGCCAAAATCGTTCAACTTATCAAGGTAATGGGCTATTTTTAAGCTTTTGCCTAGTATGTGTTAGTGTTGTTGGGAGAGACTCGAACCTCTGAGGAGGGTGCAAGCCACCTGTTGTCCAAGTGCAACGTGGCCACTTGAGCCACGTGGGGTCTACCGCAAGTAAAAGTTTAATACTTTTCAAATTGGCCAAAACCCCTATTTGCACCCTCCATTTATTTATTTTCCACGGTCAACACCTTCCAAAATTTTTCCTCCCTATTCACATCTTCCACTTTTCAAAACCCCTAAAAAACCCAACATTTTAATGCGCCGTTACGGTACCGTTACAAAATGTACTACGTGGTACTCAAAAATCGACGTGGCCACTATGTGCTGTTAGTAATCCAATGTGGATGCTTTTTTTTTTATGATGTGGCTTATTTAAATAAAAAAATTTAGAACAGGAGCTCTGGGTTCTGGAACCCAAAGCTGGGTTCCCGAACCTAGAGCTGGGTTCCTCCCAAGGAACCCAGCTTGAACCCTCTGGGTTTCTGGTGAGGAACCCGATTTGGGTTCCTCACGAACCTAGAGTTGGGTTCCTTGTGAGGAACCCAGATCGGGTTCCTTGTGAGGAACCCAGATCGGGTTCCTCACGACAAGGAACCCAGAGTCGGGTTCCTCATGGGTTCCTCCGAAGGAACCCGATCTAGGTTCCTCACAGGGAACCGAGCTCTGGGTTCTGGAACCCAGAGCTCCCGGAAATTTTTTTTTTTTTTTTTGGTGGGGGATGCGGGGACAAGCAGGAAACCGTGCAGTGGGCCCCACTACACACGTGGCATCCACGTGTGCAGAAAAGAAGCCACATCATAAAAAAGCAGATCCACATCTGAAACTAACGAATAAAGAAACGCCGCATGTGCTACGTCAATTTCTGGGTGCCATGCAGTGTATTTTTTAACAGTGCTGTGACGGTCCTTTAAAATATTGGGTTTTTCACGGATTTTGAAAAGTGGAAGGTGTGAATAAAAAGAAAAAATTCTGGAAGGTGTTGACCGTATAAAAGAAATAAATGGAGTGTGCAAATAGGGGCTTTGGCCTTTCAAATTCACGTTTCAAGGCTTCAAGTCTCA